TATATATACAGTATATATATATAATAAACCCTTCACAAAAACAGCCCAGTCAAAGTTCTAAACAAATCTGGATTTCAAACTAAGACAAGTGGACAAAAAATATTTGAATAACTTCAGAAAGCAAGAAAAACTACTAATCAAAACAACATTGAATTTTTTTAATGTATCAGCTTTTGCACAGATATAAGAGCTAAATGTTAATCTCATAAAACAAAATACAAAAGGACAATGTAAAAAACACTGACCACAGGTTTTAGTTTGGGTTTATTTTTTTTTTCTTGGAACAAATTTAATGAAATGACATTCCTGACTGATTCTATTTCACCTAATATCCACTAATAAAACATAATAAGTCCATAAACACACAGACATGCATGTCTCTATGCAGGGATGTTTGTGTGTGCTTATAGATAATTGTTATATTTTGGTATGAATTCTGCATGTTTATCTGTTTGCACATGTGCACAGAAGTCGGGATGTGGATCTGTTGCCAGACAGCTGTCTCCTGGCATTGCCGTTCCCCTGCAGTGTGTGTGTATGGTTGTTGACAGTGTGGACGGTAATGTGTGATAGATCGCACTTCAGGGACCCCATAATCACATCAGCCTAACCTAGTCTATCAGCTGGGCACAATGGGATACCCTTCACTCCTCCTTTAATCTGCTTCATCTAGCTCTTCACCATTCTTCTGAGCTTTCTTGCTTTTTGTCCTACTCACTTTAAACCTCTGTTTTTACTGCTTTTTCAAAGCTTCATTGATTTTAAGCATTTAATCTGATTTTATTTATACATTTAAACATTTTATTCTTCCTATTGTTATTAAATCTGTAGTTTCATTTCAAATGCACATTTAGGTCTTTATTTTTCTTAGTTAAAATTTTTCTTTATTTTTCTACAAATTATTTTACCAATACACTAATACAACATCTAAAAAAACAGGAAGTAGTAAGAGGGTGTAACAGGAGCAAGTGATGCCAAGGTTATGGAACCCATTGGATAATGGGCATTGCTCTGTGCATGTTGTATCTGGGACTATTTTGAAACAGACGAGTTGGCCCCTAGGCTCCCCAACAGTGCATCACACCCAGCAAATGGCCCTTAGCCTTGCTAGCGCTGCTAGCTCTACAATCCATCATACCATATGCTCTCTATGGGGAAGCTAACGCTAATGACTGATGAGTGAAGGGAATGGGCGAGGGGAGGTGCACAAGAAGAAAATAAAGAACATTTTGAGAAAAGAAAGGAAGAGCAATAAACAGGCAAATAATCACAATAAGTTGGTGAAAAGTTCACAAGCAGAAGATGACAAGAGGGTAACAAAATGTGAAAAGGTGAAAAAAAAGAGGAAGATAAAGAGGTTTTGAGTAGGTGGGGAGCATATGCACTCTTTGGGAGGCCTCCTCAAATGAAGGATGACCATATATCCTGCTCAGTTGGAAGAAATAAAGGAGGGCTTAGATGAGAAGAAAGAGCGACAAGACAAAATGAGCTAAGATACGAAGGGGTCGAATAATAGACAAGTTTGTTTAAAAGATGCAAACAATTACTTAAATGAAAAAAAAAAATCCCCAACACTTTTCTGTATCATATATATAATAGACTTCAGGGGTCAATCAGAACATTTTAGTGACAAAACACAAACTAATGAAAAAAGTTTTTAACTTTTTCTTAGTAATTAGTTAATTTGTGTGTGTGTGTGTGTGTGTGTGTGTGCACAAATGTGTGCATCCGTGTTTTTGTTGATAGGCTAATGGAGTACTACAGGCCTGCCCATATGGGGCCCATTGTTTATATGTGATGAATAGAGGCCGCGTGCCTGCCTTTGGCATTCAACACTAAGCAAACCCTGCTGAGGGCACCCTGTTGACTCTGTGTGTGAGTGTGTGGGTGGTGGGGGGAGTTTGAAGGGGGCTGTAATATGTCTATATGTGTGTGAGAGAAAGAATGAGTGCGTATTTCTCCTGCTGTGTGCTTGGCAGTGCCCTCAACGGTGCCATCCTGAGTGTGTTTCATCATCATCTGCCATGACAAAGATGTCTAATGACACACCCGTACACCGACACTCACACAAAGACACACGCACGGTCCCATCTGTGCCGTGGTATTTGAGTGCTTCGGGACACTGCGGGAGAGGACAGGAAGGCGACCCTACGTTCCTGCACCATGTGTTTACCTTTCAACCCTTTTCTATTCTCTATTTTGTCATTTTTCATCTTTTTCCTTTCTCTCACACCTACCCAACCCTATAAATACCAAGATGTCATCAGTCATTGGACTTTGACAAAAAACCCTTTCGCTCCAGAGTGACGTTTTCTTGATTGACTCAAAATAAAAATAAAAAACTTTTTGACGCAGCAGTTCATCAAACTTTTAACGTCTTCTTTCAGCAACAGTGAATGGAAATATTCTGAGAACATGTCTTGCATGTTTAAGTTTCTACTTGCGTTCATTTTTTTTCTACTCACCTGGTTTATATTCATGCACCTCCCCCTTCGTAGCATCACCACAGCACACCAGGATGTCATCCACTATCCGGCCTCCACAGCATTGGGCCCCATAGCCATCATGCAGGCTCCCACTGCAGCAAAGCTGGCCGCCTGTCATGGAATAAGGAACCCCCCCACAGCAGCTGTCACCGGGCCCCACCGAGACCCGGCCCTGCGAGTGGTCAGGACAGCAGTATTCATCTACAAAGACAAGGACAGATGAAGGAAAGACTTGAACAATGTGGGGAAGAGTAGACTTAATTCAAGTGACAGAACTATGCTGAGATTATTGCAAACAAAAAGTAAAAACATACGGGTTTTTATGGGAACGTAGTATCCTCCACAGCACTGATGGTCAGGGAGAGATGGGACAAGTTTGCCACTGCAGCACGTGGGGTTGGTAGTAGTATTTAAACTCCAATAACTGCCATCGCAGCAATGGTGATGTGGTTTTCTTGTGTACAGCCATCCACTGCAGCAAACCTGGTTGTAGTCCAAATGGAAACACATAAGCTGTATATGAACTGTTTATTAAAAAGAACATAATTTGACCATTAAGGGGTGTTTAAATAAGCTTCAAAGTAGAAAACATATATAAATATGGTTCAAATTCCCTTTCTAAAAAAGGCAAAACAATAAAAATCAGTTAAAAAAATGTGAATCAAAAAATGTTCTTGAAAGGGCCGATGTACTTTATAAATAAGTTGTGTATTTTTCTGGACTTTTCTATATCATCATGCAACATCATCTATAACTTCTACCTTGTAATACCAATAAAAGGACTTTTTATGCCTTTGTTTATAAGGTGTTTTGATAAATCTAAACACAGTCATGGACACATAAGTCTATTTATTCATGTTTGTGAAAACTATGCAATTAAGACCTCTTCTCTTTAGGGTAAGTTCACCACTTTTGAGTGTGTATCTATTAGTTCATATGACCCAAAATGTTTATGCCACTGGATGTATGCATAGAAATTCCCTGTGCTACAGTGACTAGGCTGGCACTCAATGGCACAACAGTAGAAGTTAAGTTAATCCCTTTAAAGAAATGTATCACTGAGATAATAATCATGCTCTACGTATAAAGCAGGGATTGTTTCTTTTTTGTGTACTTTTGTTAGTTAGTGTTTGCAAAAGACTAATATCCTGAAGAAGAACAGAAAAACAATTCATTCTCAGCTTTATATGAGTAGCAAAAGAAAAGACCTTTGGTATCTTGTTTTTCACATGGCTGCTGTCAGTAAATTTAGTTATGGTGAGTTTTAGTAAAAACCATGTTGTACAAGTACAAGTAGAGATGAAAACAATCAACAATAAGGCAGAATAAAAGATACAAGTAGAGATGAAAACAATCACCTGTTTGTCAGGATGAAAGCAGGATGTGCCGCACACACTGTGACCCACTGGACACTGCAGGTAATGACATTTAAACCTTAAAGCACCTGCACTTTCCGAACTCTTCTCTGAAGAGGGTTTTACCAGTGTTGACCCATCCATGCATGATCTGAGGGTCCGTCTTAAAACCTCGTAGCCCAGCATGATCCCGCTGGGTTTGTCTGGGTGGGACCAATTTAATCTCACTGCCCTTCAAGCACAAAGGTGGAGCAGCAGAAAGATAAACAAAATAAAAGTGATTACTGGATAAGTGTTTTATTGCTTTCACACAGTTGTAAAAAACAAACATTTTCCACTTTCATACCCTTAAATTCATCTGAATGGAAGAAAATAATTCTACAAACAAAAGATTAAAAAGTTTTATGCTACGTTCACGCCGAACGCATTTTGAGCAGCAAAAATGCGCCCAACGCCTCAAGTTGGACGCTCCACAGACTGGGACAGAGACCAGACGTGAGTCTGAAATGGGAGGAGCGTCTTGGTTTTTTTTCCAGTCTGTCTTTGGCGGATGAAATAAAGATAAAATAAAGAAAATGGCTTTGCTTTATTTACTAAAGAGCAAGCGAACATTGCGCACACCAGCTAATTAAATCACCAGATAACTTAGAGGCGATTTGTTCATTTAGTTTCACCACTCCAGGAGCTGCGAGCTGACAAACTATTTTTTGTCCCGAGCCCAGTTTAAAGGGATCCCCAATTAGTTGTAACATTAGACTTTATTTAGTAAACATATATTTTAACTGTAAAACAAAGACTGTAAAAATACTGTAGGCTGTTTAATTTTGTACATTTTAAAAACATATTTTAACACAGATAGCCATTTTATTTACATGCAAAGCATTCTGGGTAAATGATGACGTGGATAGGGAGAAGGGGTTATCTATGGAATCAAAGTGGGCGTGTCACAAGAGTGGGCATGTCAAAAGCATAAACACTGTGGGCTACGAGGTCTACATGACGGTATCCTTAGATCCTGCTTGACCTCTATACAGCCTGACCCTGACCCCAACACTAAGGTTAACCAGGAGAAATGTGACCCAAGTAGGGGTCTCCAGAAAAAGTGGTGCCGTACAGTAACGTCCCTTTTGTTCTTGTCTAATCAGGTGGTGCCGTACGGTATCACCCATTTTGCTTGTCCAATCAGGTGTGTCCATTTAACAAAGTCCATCATATCAGGTCGCTTTAGAATCGCCTTTCCTTGTGACACGCCCACTTGTACGCACTCGTCCGCAGAGACCCATACTTGTGGATAGGTCCTCAGTGTGCGCGAGCTATATCCCCACTGAAGGTTAATCTTGGACAATATCTGATGATCGACTCTTTTAAATGAAACCAGAGAGTGTTGACAGTGAGGAGAAGGTAGAAATGACTCAGCCTGGAACTGAAAATATGGATGGAGGACAACAGAGCTGCTTCATGGAAGAAGAACCTCAGCTTAGCCTGTTAGCTTTAGCGTTAGCTCCAACGCTATATTGTCTTACATGTTTTAGCTCAGTGCTAGTGCAACAAACAAGCTAAACTGAGGTCCTCCATCCATATTTTCAGTTGCAGGCTGAGTCACTTTTGCGTTCCCCTCTCTGTCATGTGGATGGAGGACCTCAGTGAAAAGGAGAATGTGTAGCACTGAGCTAATTCATATACAGTATATGGTGATAGCATCAGGGCTAATGCTAAAGCTAACAGGCTAAGCTGAGGTTCTTCTTCCATGAAGCAGCTCTGTTGTCCTCCATCCATATTTTCAGTTCCAGGCTGAGTCATTTCTACCTTCTCCTCTCTGTCAACGCTCTCTGGTTTCATTTAAAAGAGTCGATCATCAGATATAGCTCACTAGCAGCCTTGCACTGAGGACCTAGCCACGTCATCATTTACCCAGAATGCTTTGTGTGTAAATAAAATGGCCCGTCCGTGTAATACATTTCTAAACTTTTAGTTTCAAAATGATAAAAACTAAACAGCCTACAATATATTTACAGTCTTTATTTTACAGTTAAAATAAATGTTTATCAAATAAAGTTTAATGTTATAACTAATCGGGGATCCCTTTAACACCGCGGTCAGTTTAACGAGCTGCTGACCCACATCGGTGCTGATATCTCCAGCCAGAAAAACTGTAGACAGTCGATTTCAGCTAAAGAGCTCCTGTCCGTAAGTTTGTGTGCAACATTTAGGAAATGGTCACGTGGAAAAATGAGTCTCTCTGATTGGTTGTTGCGGTGCATCGGGCAGCAAAAGTTCAGATTTTTGAACTCGAGTGTCGGCTGCTTTGGATGCACCACATGCCCGGAAAATGCTCTACCGCAACCTTGTGCGCCGCGCTAAACGGACTTGACACGCTGCAGGACCCCTAGAGGCGCGTCCACCATAGACTTTGCATGTAAACCGGCCGCTCCTGCAGCTCAAACTGTGTTCGGTGTGAACGTAGCATTAGAAGTGCATTTAGGCTGTGATAAAGGTAAAAAGGAGATCTTGTTAAATTTGGACCATGCAGAGTGCCAACAGTTTATTTACAGATATTTTTATAATAAGTTCTTCTTTTGAAACTGGAAAACATGTCAGTAATCTTACTATATAGTTAAAATTCTCATCTTTTACACTTTTTCACCTTTTGCTGTAAAAGCCCAAACATGTTTAGCCCGCTGTAAACCAAATTACTAATGAATATCATAAAACATAAAGAATTGAACCGACATGGTTTGTTTTGTATCATCAACCTTACAACTAAACTCTAGATTAACAATAATGTAAGTATTAACAATAATCATCCCTAAACTAAAACATAGAATATGGCACATCATTAGATAATGTGGTATTAAGTTTAAAAGGTAAAATAATGTACTGCACTGTTATTACCTGGGACTGACTACTTGTACATGTGGCACAGCAAATCCAGCTGGTAGGTCTTCCACAGTGGTAGTCTTTGTAACCTCACTCTGAGTACATGCATAGACGGTACACACTTCCACCTAAAACAGACATTTCAACCATAATTACCTAAAACATTATACGAACACCTTTATGTCTGAGCTGTGTTTGATGTTGTGTACTTGTATGTTGTAGACTGTAAAGGGGAGTAAATCCCCCAGCAGGTATGAGCCAGAGGTGTTGTCTATGCTGCCATGAAAACGACTGTTAACGTAGATGTTGTAACCAGTGATTGCTCCGTTGGGTCGAAGAGGAGGAAACCAGAGGACACGGGCCGAGCTGCTGTTTACTGGGACCACTTCTGGAGAAGACATTCCTTCTGGCTCTGAGAGCGGAACAAAACAAATAGAACAGGACAGGATCATGGAATTTTATAGTACGTAACCGTAAAAAACCATTAAACAAACACACCACTATGGTAAAATCAAGACCTTTATATACTTTTATATCACAAGTTCAGTTATCACAGAGTGAAGTATTGGAACTTTCAGTCAGATTTTAACTACACTCCTCTGTCTACAGAATGTTATCCCATAATGCAACTTGTGTAAAGATTAGTGTTGCCTTTTTGTGCATTTTGTTCAGCAATAGTATCTCTTTGGATGTCAATAATAGACCTGCGCTTGATTTAGAATGAGAGCATAGACGCAACCACTGGGATATAGTCATATTAACAGATTTGTTAAAATATTCTGATTGCACACAACACACGCATTTACATCCATTTCTGATGTTATAAAAATGTATTTAAAATTCAGTGCTCTGTTCAGGACTGTATATTAGTGAAAAATGGAAATAACCTTAGTATCCATGTGCGTGTGCAGTATTGCATTGATAATTTAATCTTGCAGTAAATGAAATGTAGAGCACATGGGCTGGGTCTAGGTGAGTGCATGGCTGCAAATGAATTGGGTTAACTTCCCTTAGCTGAGTGCGTTTTCACTAAGAAAAATAGATTCTGGCAGAGCGGCTTACCATCTCTCTTTTTTAAATATCTCAGAAATGACAATGAATCTTTCTTTGAGAACATCTCTTTCTGCCTCGTGTTCATTAATCTGGTTCTGTTTTTCTTTCAACGTGACAGAAGCTGAGTGAAAAGTACAAAAGATTTAAAACAACAAGAAACAGACTTTGAGCAAAATCAAAAAATATCTAAGAAAAGCAAACAGAACAAATAATTCAAATTATTTCAGTCTGTAATATTGTTAGGGGAAAAAGCAGTTTTGAGAACAGTAAAAGACAAGAAGTTTCAACACAGGAGTTAATAAGGTGGGAGGATGGAGGGTGGGAGAAGGGTAATTATACCAACTTCATCTATTATTCTAAGTGAAAATAGACTCCGCGACAAGAAGTTAACCCAATTCATTTGCTGCAAATGCACTTACCTAAACCCAACCTACCGCTCTACATTTAATTTACTGCAGGATGGCATTATCAATGCAATGCTGAACACTGGGCCTCTTACTCCACACACAGATACAGACATGTATTTTTCTTGCCAATTAGTCCTGATGTTAGCATTTCCCTATAGATTGCAGGCCACGTTGGGATGGTTGGTAAGGTTGAGTTGCATTAGTTAAAATATATTAAGCCCCTTGGATGTGTGTGTGCGTGCATGCACTCATATGGCTGTAAAATAATGAAATTACCTCAGGAGCCCTCTCAGTTAAACGAGCCATGCTTTGCCTTTAGCACCTAATGATTTTCTAATGTTTTTAATGCACTTTTTATTATACAGCTCAGATTAGAGAGAAGAAGCTTCTGACATTTGATTATACTGAAAAAGAAGAAAACTATGAGAGCAGAAAAACAAAAGAAAAAAGAAGGGAAAAAGGAAAAAAAGGTGACAGACATGGAGGTGAAGACAGAAAAACAGCAACATAATTCAGAAACTGGTCATAAAGTTATAAGAAAGGAAGCTAGGCAATGGGTTGAAATATGAAAAAGAAAGAAAAGTGACGACTGTATAGAATTGGAAAATGAAGAATATCAGTATGCATGAAAATGTTTATACTTTTGTGTCTTTAAATAAATACACATCCTTATATCCTATATTTGAGGATTTAGCATTAATTTTTTAAATATCAAAATGTTAAACTGACAGTTAAATTGCAGGAACAGTTAGTGAAACATTTCCTAAAAAATGCATTTTTTTAAAACAACAATTAATAAAGTGCAACTTTTTGAGATAAGAAAAAATATTTTAACAAACTTGATATGACCAGAATTTGTATTCTGTCTGTACATACAGCATGTCTGAATTATTGATGAGATAATTGCAGCTCATTGTTTTTAATAAATGTCTTGGTAATAATAATAATAATAATAATAATAACAATAATAATAGATTTGAGCTATTTGTCCAACAGCAACAATATTTTTCTTAGTATAGATCTATTTTTGAGGAGTTTCATGAAAGACTGTTCAGTAACTAATACAACAAAGTATCCTTCCACAGTTTTTAATTCCTTAATAAAATGTGAACCAGCTGCATTTACCTGGTGTGTGACAGCTAGAACTTGACTTGTGTGTAATGATAATGTGAGTGTGGTTTCTGTGAGTTAGTCAGTGCATGGTGCCAACAAGCTTTTTACAACACCTTGAGTGTACCTCACACACACTTTGTATTGATTTCATGCCTGAGTACATGATGTGTTTAATGTCTCCTGTGAAGCACACAGTTGCAAAGAAATGATGTTCACCTGGACTGACTGAGAAGATGCATGATATGTAGCCTGTTATAAAGCATTTCACACATTACTACCCCATCTTACAGAAAACTCATCATTTCAAAGCTTCGGTTTGGCAAATCATAGAATGTAAAAGCCCCTTACCCCCATCAGCTGTGGTGATATTAACTGTTGTTTTAGTTGTATTATGTGCTCCGTTGAACACCTGTAATGACACCTGATATGTAGTAGAGGGCCAAAGGTCACTTATCACTGTTGATGTGATCTCAGGTCTAAAAGACAACATCTGACTTGACTGGGGAGAGTCTACTGTGAGAAAGAAGGTTTCCACCTCTCCCTGCAAGTCTTTTAAAGCTGTAAAAGATGACAAAAAGAGTGGATCAGTTAAAATCACGGCAAAGTTTTTGTTTATAAGTTAGCATTCTTAAAATTAGCATGTGAAAGTACAATGTTATTAGAAAATAAATTGGTGTATAACAGTTTTAAAGCCTTTTACTGTCATTTGTGAATTTAATGTGTATGTGCTTATTTATTGTTGTAAGTTATTTAAGAAAAGACCTCTGCTGGGTGAGTGTGTACGAGTTCTGAGGAGATACAATATTCTTACAAGGTTGAGTCCAGTTGACTTGTATAGCTGTGTGATTGACAGCATGTGCAGACAAAGACGGTGGGTTCAGGGGAACCCCTGCCATGGTCACTGCAGTCGCAATCCTCCCTGAAGTGTAGCCCACATCATTAGAAACCACTAACTGGTACTGGTAACGGGTGAATCTGCAAAGAGAGTACAACATGTTCCTATAGCAAGAACTTATTTAAAATCAGAGTTAAATCTTCCATTGATGCTGATCTTCAAGGATAATTTTTACCTATGGACTAAGGTCAGCTATATTATATTTGGGTCATATCAGTCTTTACAGTGTTTTACCTTAATAATATTCATTCACTTCATTCATTTTACCAGGAAAAGCATCAGTGAGATTAAAAAAACATTGATGTTAGAGACCCCAGCAAACAGCATCAGTTTAACAAGCTACAAACACACTATCCAGGGGCGGAGCCAGGGGTGGCCAAGGGTGGCCATGGCCACCATGGACAAATCTTTGGCCACCCCATTGGCCACCCTGCTGTACACACCCCTTCCACAGTGAAACAACCTTTAGGGGTGTAATAATCCTCCTGAACAGTTGGTGGCAGTGTTTACCAGCTTGAAACATTACCAAGCTCTATCTCTGAAGAAGACTAATGACAAGGAAGTGATGATTTTTTTTATATACAGAACATGCCTATATAATCTGATTTATGGTGACAAATGTTTTTTTTTTTTTTTGTCATTTTCTGCATGAT